TTGGTGGAGTTCGGAATGCTCTTTGAGTGTAGGTAAACTATAAATCCCAGCAACTACAACTCACAAGTGTCAAGCCCCCCCCCCCCCCAAACCAAACTCCACCAGTGTTCACATTTCACCATATCGAGTATTCATGCCAAGTTTGGTCCACATCCATCACTGTTTGAGGCCACAGTGCTCTTTGGATGTAGGTGAACTACAACTCCAAAACTCAAGGTCAATGCCCACCAAACCCTTCCAGTATTTTCTGCTGGTCATGGGAGTTCTGTGTGCCAAGTTTGGTAGAGTTCGGAATGCTCTTTAATTGTAGGTGAACTATAAATCCCAGCAACTAAAACTCCCAAAGGAGAAAATCAACCTCACCAGTATTCAAATTTGGGCATATTATTTGTGCCAAATCTGGTCCAGTGAATGAAAAGACATCCTGCACATCAGATATTTACATAATGATTAAAAACTGTAGCAAAATGACAGTTACAAAGTAGCAACTAAAACAATGTTATGGTTGGGGGTCACCACGACATGAGGATCTGTATTAAGGGGTCACAGCATTAGGAAGGTTGAGAACCACTGGGAATCTAGCACAAGGTATCCAGTTTGCAAGAGTGGCAAACAAAAAACCCAAAAAACCAACCCCCCTGTGTTGAAGCATTGATTTTTAACTGTAAGTTAAGTGTAGTTATGTATATGTGTCTCTACAGTTAAATATGATTGTATGTGTGTGTGTATGTGTGTGTGTGTGTGTGTATATATATATATATATATATATATATATATATATATGCTTAGATAGTTGAATATTATTATATGTTATTATATTATTATATGTTCAGGAGGTAAAAGACAGTTATGGATGTACATAAAGGGTTAACCATTTAGAAATGACAGAACTAGGGGGATGGGATCAAGCTCAGCACTCTGAGTTAGGTTGCCATGGAGAAAGGGGTGGAGCCAACTGCACTTACCAGAAGCAGACATTTTGAGGCTTCAGTCCTTTGGTCATCGAGCCAAAGGGAAGGTGGTTCAAATGTGTGGTGGACCAAACTAAAGGAAAGCTTTTTGCCTGAGTGATTTAAATAAATCAAGGGGACTTATATAGGTTTGTGGTTTAGCTGTGTGCTAATAGAAGAAATCCCACTGGGAATCTTTACTTCAGCAGGAAGCTGAAGGGAGACAAGGGCATTAGCTGACCTTAGTTAATCTGTCAAATAAGGAAACATATTTAGAAGTGTAACAACTAAAGAACTAGTTGGTGAAGTAAAAGACATCCAAAAGTTATATTAAGATTTGTTGAAACTGTAACTCATAAAGCTTTATACCTCAGGAGGAGAGAACTCTGAAACCATTAAGACCCTTCCATACTCCAAATAAACTTATTCTTGTTTTAGTAACTCAAGTCTCAGTGTACTATTTTTTAAAAAAACAAACCTCGCAACACACCAAAAGAAACACTACAGAGTGGTAGCAGTGAATATATTTGAAAATAGGGGAATCCATTAATAAACTAAATAGGAAACCCTTTATTAATTGGTGGCAGCATAGCCTAGTACCTCACAGATGGTGGCAGCATACTAGATTAAATAGAATATCAGAAAATAAAGAGGAAGCCTTTACACCCCCCATCCTTAGTTTTGCAATTTCAGAATAAGCAGTTTTCACTGCAGACTTCAAAGAACAAATGTGCCATTCAAAATGATGTGTTTCAAAGGGAAAATGTGAGCAAAGCAGTGCAAGGCAACTGACAGGGAAGAAAAAAATAGGTCTCCCTTTTCCCCGTTACTATGCAAACATTTTCATTCTTCTCTAAGGTCTTTCAATGCTAGGCAGAGTATGTGATTACTTCAGCAACATAGAAAAAAAGAAATTGGGGTTAAAAAAGAGAAAATGGCAGCTTGAAAGGTTTATGCCAAAATTACAAAATCATGTTTGAAAGTAACCCAAACCTAGTTGGTAATGCCAGTGATGTACTTTTATTCACCCATGTTTCCTTATTTCTAAAGAACACATCACTTCTGTTGCCCTATGCCATTTTACTAATATGGACTTGATCGTCTGCATTTTGGTACCTGTCCAGAGTTAAGTTTGACACCAGTTTAACTGCCATTATTGTTATTATTATTAATTTGCTTTTTCTCTCTTAAAAGAGATTAAAAGTGACTGGTTCCATGCTATAGCATCCTGGGAATTGTACTTTGGTGAAAGACACCAGCTTTCTTTGGCAGAGGCTAAAAATCTTGTAAAACATGAGTTGATTCTACAGCAGTGGTTCCCAACCTTTTTTTTGACCAGGGACCACTCTCCAACATTCGTACCAAAAGGGTTATGAATCAGTTTTTGGTCAACTTTAGATTTGGTTTGGTTATTTGGGGTGCTAATTCAGAAAATTGCATTGGATAGATCACATTAGCTCTAGTTTCTGATACAGAACATATGCCATCCAGTAGTCGCCATCTGCTCACTCACAGAAAACCATATTTAATATTCTAAAGATGTGTTAGTAGTAATCTTTCGTGGGTCATCACCCTCTCCCTTCCCCACATCCCTGTTGCCTTGGCACTATAAGAGGGTTTCGCAAAACCAGTCGCTCTCGTTACCGTGTGGTTTTGAGGCAAAGGTGTAGGAATGGTGAGGCCGCGAACCATATTGCGGATCACTGGTGGTCCATGGACCACAGGTTAGGGACCACTATTCTACATCCTTTTTTAAAAAAAAGGAAAAATTGCCTTTCCTGACCTACATACCACTCAAGCTGTATAGGTTTCTGAAATCCAATCTCTTTCACACACTAAACTATTTTGCTGCACATCTCTGGCATCCGAGTGGATAAATAATATTCAGATTTATCTCCCTGTGCATACGCAAATCTGAAATAATCAAGGCAATCAGAGATAATTAGAGTTATTTTGAGGTGGGAATTTGAGCTGGATTCCGGCTAGGCCTGAGAGAGGGTGAAAAGGAGGGAAAGAAGGGAAGAAGAAAGAAGGGGAAAGGATAAATTCATTTGGGGAGTGTAAGAGCCATACTAGTCACTGTAGGCTCAGATTAAAGGTCACATTCCTTCATCCCTAGTCACAACAATGACCACAAGGGCTCCTTTTTGTAGTCATGACAGGTTTACAAGGTCTTGAAGAGTGTTAGTGCCTCACCAAAGTACGATTCCCAATATCCTATAGCATTGAGCCATGGTAGATTGTAGTTCAAGATATGCCAAACTGAGTTAATTCTGCAGTGTAGATGGTACTCCTAATTTCAAACACCTCCTAACACATTTGAGATAGGCCACACTGAGACCAGAGGCAGTCCGGACAAAGCATTGCGTCCCAAAAATTCTATCCTAGTTATATTTCACCTGGTCATGCTCAGCATTATTTTTAAAATTACATTTGGCCCAGTCATAGGTTTTTTAAACATTGTTGTGTTATTGTTGATGTTTACTGCTTATTTTCTATTTGAGTTTTATTTTATTGTTTTGTATTACTGTTGTTTTTTGCTGATGTATTGTGGGCTCGGCCTCATGTAAGCTGCACCGAGTCCCTTGGGGAGATGGTAGTGGGGTACAAATAAAGTTATTATTATTATTATTATTATTATTATTATTATTATTATTATTGCCACTCCTGTCAGCTCTAGAGGATTTTGGGAGTTATTTATTTATAGTATTTATATTCCGCACTTCTCACCACAAAGGGACTCAGAGCGGATCACAGAACACATATATGGCAAACTGACTAGACAGACAACTGTACGTAAAGGTATATATATAGGCTTTCCCATTGTTGGCATATTGGAGGCTGTGCTCAGTTCCAACCATGGGGTGTATGTGTGTGCGCGTGTGCTGTCACTCCACTTTCCCTGCCAAAGAGCTTTGTTTGTAAACTTCCTCTTTGAATGAATTGCCAACATTTTTCGGGCCTTCCCCTTATGCATGCCTTGAATACCTCCCCGCTTAAGCAGTACCTATTTATCTACTACTCACATTTGTTTTCAAACTGCTAGGTAGGCAGAAGCTGGGCTAAAGGCCGGGTGCTCACCTAACCCAGGCTTTGAACTGTCAACCTTTTGATTGGCAAGGTTTAACTGCAGCTGGCAGTTAACCTGCTGTGCTAAAGCCCAGCTCACAAGTTGCAGTTCATATTCTGGAAGGCCACACTGGCCCACCTCTACACTAGACAGACCCAACTCTTAACCTATGCGGCTGATCCAGGAGCAATAGCAAAACCATTCTCTTTGGAATTCTACATACATGGGTTATCTGGAAAGTAAGGTTACAGGGCACATAGCTATCACAGGGAATTTTTGCGGAGGAAGTTGGTATCACTGCCATGTAGCGGGAAGCCAGCGGAAGTGAATGAGCAGTGCCAGTCGTCAGTAGCTCATTGACTGGCGCAGTGGTGAAAAGATGAGCGTCCTCATTCCATTTCCCTCCAAGTGTAAAGTTCACGCTGGAATACGCTACCTAAATGTTAAGGGCATGAACACTCCTGGGATTCATCGTGAAATCATTTCAGTTTATGGAGAGGACATAATGTCAAGACAATATATGACAAAATGGGTACGGAATATATTGTGAGACCATGAAGCAACTTCGCAGAGCCATCCAAAACAAACGGGACTCTGACAGGAGTCTGTCCCCTTCATGACAATGCAACGCAAGAATTGTTGCATGAGCACCCAGTGACTCATCTGTTTACTCAATTGAAGGAACACCTGGGTAGAAAACACTTTTCCAACAACGAGGTGAAAATCGAAATGACGAACTGGCTGAAAAAGGCAGAGGGAAACTTCTTTGACACAGACATCAAAAACTCGTCCCACGGATGACAAAATATATTCAACTGAATGGTATCTGGAAAAATATTGTAATACTTATGCTACAATCCATGTAAGTTTTATTAAAACAGATTCAGTCTTTGTATTTTTAAAAATTCTTGTAACCTTACTTTCTGGATAACCCTTGTAAGTAGTTCTCTGATCACAATGAAGAACCAAACCGGACTCTGTTCTTAAATGTGTCAATTCTTTTTTAATGTCTTTGAAAAATAAAAAGGTTTGTTTTGAGCAACTGCAGTTAGGAAGGGGATGCCATTTGGGGTATTTTTTTAATTTGCACTCCATGAAGTGTGAGCATATTGACAGGTTAAGACTCATGCATGAAAAAAATTAAAAAAGGAAAAAGAGGGTTAAGGAGGGAACATTCGCCTTTTCGGAACAGGAGTGGGGTTCTTGTTACAAACGCGACAAAAACTGGGGCAGCCCAGTTTAATCCAAGGCACCACCCACCCCACTCCCCCCCTTTCAATCGCAGCCAACATGGAATAATATAACAGCAACATCAATTTCATACGTTTGGTTTGTTTGCTTTTTTTTACAGGATGGTTTCACTGGAGTTTTTTACAAGGTTCTAGGCATCACTTTGGGTTTTGCTGTTTCTCAGAAAGGGATAGTTTCAAGAAAAGAGGGGCAGAAAATGGAAAATGGCCATGCGTTTCTTCCCACTGACTCCAAGATATAAAAGCGTGGATGGATGCCAATATTTTCACAATCCAAGCTCAGGGGTCAATTTTCTAACTTACCCTGTTTCGCGGAAAATAAGACAGTATCTTATATTAATTTTTGCTCCCAAAGATGCGCTAGGTCTTATTTTCCATGAAGAATTCACATTTATTGTTGAACCAAAAAAATGAACATTTATTATTTACTGTACAGTTGTCAGTATATAATAAATATACTGGCCCTCACACACAGGGCCACCAAAAATAAGGAGTGTAAAGTACCTGGCTCCCAAACACTGTCAGGAGACTATAACAATAGCACATTTGTACAGCAGGGACGGTATTGCAGCTTCCAGCCACCAGGAAGAAGCATGCTTCCAAACAAAAACTTTGCAAGATCTTACTTTCAGGGGAGGCCTTATATTTAGCAATTCAGCAAAACCTCTACTAGGTCTTATTTTCAGGGGATGTCTTATTTTGGGGGGAACAGGGTAACAGATAGCATTTCCTAATGATTCTCTTACTCTTCAGTGACGCCAAAGGGGAGAAACTGCCATCCCTACTTCCAAACTTTAAGTTATTTAACTTTTTTAACTTGCTCAAGCTATAATTGCTGCTTAGGAATTAACCTGGCCCCTTAAAAAGAGGAAAAGCAATTCAACATGACTGCAATCAAACCTGAAATACATAGCTATACAGTAAAGAGGCTAGAAAGAGAAAGAATGTTCTTCAGCTATTTCTGCATCTGCTTCTGAACGATTCGTCGTAAGCATTGAGAAGGGAGAAAGAAAAAATTAAAAAATAATATTCCGCCTTTAGAGATGATGGCCTTCAGTAAAGACAGACAGACCGAACACAACAACAGCGACACCAAGCCACTGGGTTTGGACGGGTATTTCCCCTCACGACGGGGAAAATAAAGCGAGTCACAATAAGGCAACGCTGACTCGAAAGAGGGACAGAGTGGGAGAGAAGCCAGATCACGTTAGGCCCAGCAAAAATGCTCCTAAAACTCAAGAGGCAAGGCAAGACTGGACCGACAACCGGTTTGGAAACACACTTTAAATGAATTCTAGCTCATAACTAAATCACAAAGCTTCATTTTTCTGATCTGCAAAAGTTGGGAGAATTGGGGCCGACACAACGTCCAGGACGTCGTCTCATTTCACGAATAAGATGACTTTTTGCAGTGGTCATTTGGAGAGGACTAGAAAGAATGGGGGGGGGGGGAGGTTGGGAACCTTACTCAAATTCAAAGCCCCTTCCCCCAATTTATTCCCCCTTTATTTTGATGATTTTGCAAGGAAGTTCAAACAAAGGATTTCTTTTTGTGGAATTAAAGGTTCTCTCTTTTTTATTATTTATTCATCATCATCATTATTTCTTTTTTCCCACTTAAAGGCCATGGATGAAGCATTTTACAGTTCTCCTAGTGCAAAGGAACAGAAATAAAAAAGAAAATAGAGCAAGAACCCAAAACAAATTAAAAGGATGGGGAGGAAAAAAATTTGCTGCCTTTCTTCTCACAGGCAACAACAAAAATATGAACAGAACTTTAGGTGGGTTTTTTTTTACTGCAACATATACACATTTAATATAGTATACAGTCCATGCAGCGGCACAGCCATGGCGAAGGGGGCTAGGCCCCCACTTTCTTCAGTGCACTACAGTCCGTGTCCCGCATCCACCGTGTTCCTCATCCACCACTGTCATCCGCCTCCTAGCCTGACTTAAAGAGCAGGATCGCAACCTGGCCCAAATAGAAATAGATGAAGTGCTTCGTCTCGTGCGTTACATAGCTGCCGAAATTCCTGCCCACAATGCAGTGCCAGGTGGGGTTGTATTTCTTGTCAAATTCCTGAAGAACAAGCAAGAAGAAAGCGGGAAAACATTAATGTTGACAGCCGTCATCAATGGAGAGACCCTACAGAATGGGCAGAAGTACAAGGCACTCTCGTTCAGTCTTGGGACTACAACCCCAAACCAGACACAAGATATGCTTGTTGGGACATTTAGCCAGATGTGGTTAAATACCACTCCCAGCCTTTCATTACTCTCAGTGTTTGTTGCTAGGAGTAATATTAAAAATTAACTAGGTATTTTTAATTATAAAAATGTGAGTGAAGCACTGAAAGGGTTAAATGGACGCCATGACTAAGCAAAAGCTGCAATTCATATAAGCAGTGGGTTAAACCCTTGTGCTGAAGGTCTCAGGTTCGAATCCAGGGAGAACGTGAATGAGCTCCCTCTAACAGCTCCAGCTCTTCATGCGGGGATATGAGGGAAGCCTCCCACAAGGATGGTAAAAACATCAAAATATCCAGGCGTCCCCTGGGCAACGTCCTTGCAGACAGCCAATTGTCTCACACCAGAAGCGACTAAGCAGGTGTGTCTGTAGCGTAGTGCACCTCAATGTTAGTTGCCCTCGGTATGAAGAGGCTTGAGTCTGAAGTAAACCTCAGTGTTAATAGGCCTCAGTGTGTGAGAGGCCTCATGTGAGAAGCTTTGGTGAAAGAAGCCCAAGTTGAAGACCTCGTGTGTGAAGCTCCAGTGTGAAGGCTGTCTTGTGTTAAAAGCTACTGTATGAAGCTCCTGTGTAAAATCAGTGTGAGAAGAGGCTCTGTGAGAGCAAAGCTTTTTATCTGCATGACAAAGAAGCTCAGTGTGGAAGCAAAGAAGGAAGTATAAAGAACTTTATTTGTGTTATGGAAACCTTGTTCTTGTAAATAGTACAACCATTAAAGGTAAGGGTTTTCGGTGTCCGACTCTGGGGTGTGGTGCTCACCTCCATTCCTAAGCCATATTATTTTGCTATTAAGAAAAGCCTCCTATGGAAGAGATAGCATTGGTCTCTGTGTGTTTTTTGTTCTTTTTATCACTTTGGGCTACTGGTGCTGGGTCATGCTGCTGCTAATAAATTTCTCTGCTGTACATTTATGAGTAAATTCTTTTGTTAATAAGCCTACTTGTCCAGGATCCTAAAGACGTTTTAAGTCCAGGAACAACAGCTTTCTGTGCCAACTCTTGGAGACCGAGCACCAAGAGCGGACATTGCTGGGTTTCTCTTCCCTAAATGTTTGGGGCCCAAAGGGAGAATGCCAAGTGAACAAATGGCAAGCCCATACAGTTAAAATATCGGGACAAGCAGTGTACAGTGTGCCAATCATACAAGGGGCAAAGCTCTATCCCAGTCTGTGTGTATGTGTTGGAAGAGGAAGACTATTTATTTATTTATTTCTCCCATTTCTATCCCATCCTTCTCAACCCCGAAGGGGGACTCAGAACGGCTTACAATGGGCCCCATTCCAAAGCCATTACATAGCAAATTACAAAATTAAAACCACAATTAGACATAAAAGCATAATTAACAATACGTAAGCCATTGTTAAAACAGTAAAACAGACTAAGCAATCAAACAGATTTTTCCAACACTCTCCCACAATCACTCCAATACCTTTTTGATATATGCTGCAATGTCCTTCTCTATGTTGTACTTTTCCATCGCCTGCGTGGCACAATCGACAGCATCCTGCTGCATATCTTCAGACATGTCCGCATTTTTGATCACAGCCTTCCTGTCAGACATGGTGGACCTGGAGAAGAAGCAAAAAGAGAAGACAAGGGAGAAAGGTTAAATATGAAGGCTGCTCCAACGCCATTTCCAAAGATGTCTGTTACAACACAGCTTGAAGTGAACCTACACTTCTCGACACCACTCTCTCCATATCTTGCCTCCTGGCTAGGACCAATGCCAGCTGTGGGGCAAAACATCTGGAAGACATTACATTAGGGAAGGCCGATATGGACTTTTTAAAGTGGACAAAATGCAGTCCCCCAGATGTGGTGGTACTCCAACTCCCATCAGCCCCCATTCACATAGCTAAAGAGGAGGAACCTGGAAGGGTGGACTTGCTCAACTCCATTTCAAATGCTGGTGATATGAGCCCATTGCCTACCTATCACAAAACTTAGGAAATTATTTATCAGGTGGAATGTACTGGACCAGGACTTTGAGATAAACAGGTTTTGGAATCCAACGGACCATGAAATTCATTCTGTGACCTTGAGGCTGTCACTCTTTTGCAGCTGATCTACGGCACAGGGCTCTTTTGGTGAGGGATAAAACAAAGATGAAGAGCCATTTATGCCACTGGGATCAAAATGGAAATAACAGAGGCAAAGTTGGGTCATGATCATGCTAAAACAACTCAATTCTTGTTTTGCTATAATCTCATGTGTGGGTGTTAGGTTTGAGTGAGCCCAAGACTTTTGTCTCAAACACACAGGCCTCTATTTGTGTCAGCAACTAGCTCATTCAAGTCACCAGCGCACATTATTCCTCGGGCAACATCTCTGCTATTTGTAGCCCTAGCAGACGGACAATCCATCCCTGAAGCTCCATCCCTGACCTACAAACATATTCCATATTTGACTGTCTTAACAAGAGATGCTTTTATTTGAAACTACACAACTTCAGGAAGCCATTGCCCGGGGACTGAGTCTTGTGAGTCAATCATAGCATTTAAAAAAGAAAAATTAGAGATAGGACTTTATAACTTTAGTACCTTTGAGATATTTTTCACATATGGTCTTTCACGGATATAGATAAAGCTCATATTGAAATAAATGTGTCTCTAAAATGCTACTTCATACATGCAGCACAGGAAAGTGGCCAATTTGGTATGCAATACAAGTTGCCCCATGTCTGTGGTCCTCAATATTTTTGGAATCGCACCAGATGTTATGTTTAATCCAAATATAGACCATACACACAAACCCAAAAAATAGCTCCCTTTGCTGCTCTCAGACCATTTCTAGTTCTATGGAATCTTGGGATTTGTAGTTTAGAAACAAATACGAAATCTCCTGCCAGAGAGCATTAGGCCATTCTCCCAAATTACACATCCTAGAATCAGAGTTGGAAGAGACCTCATGGGCCATCCAGTCCAACCCCCTACCAAGAAGCAGGAAAATCGCATTCAAATCACCCCCAACAGATGGCCATCCAGCCTCTGTTTAAAAGCCTCCATAGAAGGAGCCTCCAACACACTTCAAGACAGAGAGTTCCACTGCTGAACAACTATCACAGTTAGGAAGTTCTTAATGTTCAGATGGAATCTCCTTTCCTGTAGTTTGAAGCCACCGCTCTCCAGGGCAGCAGAAAACAAGTTTGCTCCCCCCTCTGTATGACTTCCCCTCGCCTCTTGATCCATGGCCCTCATCATGTCTCCTCTTCTCAGCCTTATCTTCTGCAGGCTAAACATGCCTTGCTTTTGCAGCCACTCCTCATAAGGCTTGTTCTCCAGACCCTTGATCATTTTAGTTGTCCTCCTTTGGACACATTCCAGCTTGTCAATATCTCCCATCAATTGTGGTGCTCAGAATTGGACACAATACTCCAGGTGTGGTTTAACCAAGGCAAAATAGAAGGAGCTCATCCTATCCACGGATTCAAACGCCGACCTTCCGGTCAGCAAGTTCTGTAACTTCATGGTTTAACCCGCTGTGCCACCATTTATAATATTAAATATATACTGTATATTTATAATATTATTTATTTCTAACATTAAACACATATTACGTTTGCTTTCCTACATGCACAGAAGAAAAAGTGGTACCTATTGATCTACTCACATTTACATGTTTTCAAACTCCTAGGTTGGCAATAGCTGGGGCTAATAATGGGAACTAACCCCACCTGTGGATTCGAACCACCGACCTTCTGGTCAGCAAGCTCTACAGCTTAGTGGTTTAAACCGCTTCGCCACTGCAGCCCCTTTGTATTATGCTTAACACAATTTCTTTCTCCTGCAGCAGAAACCTCGCTTCTTGCCTTCTGGGGCGTCCTTTGATCCATAATAAATGCATTGAACTGGACTCAAAAGCCAACTCCCACGCATAAGGATTTAACGCCAGCATTTGGGTGCAGGCTTTCACAGACAGCTGCCAAATCTACCCACTGAAATAACTCAATCGCACCTACCTTTGTTCATAAATGGCAGCGTATGAGCATGAATAGCCCCTCTGCCCACCCACGTTTGGGAACACAGGCCTCCTTCTCCCCAGCTGCCTGAATGACAAAACACCAAAGGGCTACAAAAGCATTTAACTCAGTGTTGGAGCTACTGCACAGAAGCTGGGAGAGAAGCCCTGGCTGCAAATATAAAACTGTTCTCAAACCACTTCAGTTGCATGGCAGGCAGTGATGTGAATTTTTAAAATAAAATTGGTAATTTTTCTTAAACCTTTTTCTGATTCAACATACCATATATGCTTGAGTTTTTCAGCTCTTTTTTTGAGCTGAAAAAGCCTCCCCAACTTATAATGGGGTAAAGGCTGGGCAGCAGAGCCTGGAGGCCATTGCTTGCAATACAGGATATATTTCTCTCTCCTCTTATGTCCATTAACAATGTGCTTTCTTTTTCAGTCAAAAGGGAGGGAAGGAGGGACTGGAAATATCTTTCATGTCCTCCTTGTTTGTATGGCTCTCTTTCAAACACATCCAATTTCCTGGCTTTTTGTGTATCTAAATGTAAGTCAAGTTTATTGGATGCTTAGTCTATTACATATAGTCTTTACATATAAGGCAAACAAATGAATACATGAAAAACAATTTCTGTATGTATACATTATTTTTATATATAAAATTTCCCCTTCCATGTTTGCAAGTCTCTGCAAATCCAATATAAATATATAGAGGTAGGTGTGTGTGTGTGTGTGTGTGTGTGTGTGTGTGTGTGTGTATATATATATATATATATATATATATATCTGTGTGTATGTATAAATAATTTTATATATGAATTTTCCCCTCACATGTTTGCAAGTCTTTGCAAATCCTGTATAGATATTATTATCCATATACAGGGAGATGTCTAGATATATATGAATATAGATAAATAGGGCTTGGAAATATTGTAGGGGAAATGTGCACACGCGTACACACACAGCGAGATGTCTAGATAGATCTAAACTTAGATATATAGGGCCAGCAAATACCGCAGGAGGGAAATGCACAAATAGAGGATTTGCAAACATTTCTGAGCGAAATGCATTTGTGAAATTAGTATATATAATGATAGATTTATATCTAGTTCTGCATTGTTCATATAGGCATTGAATGTTTGCTTGTTACTATATTGGAAGCCAGCCTGAGTCCCCATGGGGAGATAAGGCGGAATACAAATGAAGTTCTATTATTATTATTATTATTATTATTATTATTATTATTATTATTATGTTATTGTTGATACCATGTTGTTTTGGTATACCCTACTTTTCAACTTGCAAAGCTAGTTTACTGTTTTTCTTCAAAATATGGTAAATATTCAAACACATTTAGCCTAAAATGATCTTCCCACACCTGGGCTGGGATTTCACAGCTTGGGGCTTTATAGGAGGATCGCAGGGCACCTGAGACACGTTTCCAGAAGTTTTTAGCATTATTGTCCAATGAGGCATTGATCAGTAGTGCTCAAATGTTTTGGTTGTGTTGCCGTTTCTTCTGCCTTACAGGGAAGGGGGTGGGTATCTCGAGTCAGAGTTTCTGTAGCTAATATAGGTATCTCTTAAGGCTTTTTTTTTCATCATCTGGCATTCTTAGTCAAACCAGATGGGCCTGGTTGGCCTGGTGTCAATGTGTTGAAGGTGGCCAGGCTTGGGGACAAAATTTAGGTCTTCTTGTAGTAAATGATCAGGTTGTCGTAGGCTCTCAGAGTAGATTCCATTGGTCGATCCGAGAGAATTACTGACCTTAGCCTTGATGCTGGTTTTGATTTAAGTCTGGCCGTAAGTCAAGCCTGGGCATCATCTGACCATTTCACACTAAGCTTAGATGGGCTCCCTGTGGTGGTTGTCCTTGGTACAGGGATTTGGATCAGGCGAACTTTATGACCAGAGACAATTATGTCCAGAATCAAGGGCTGATGGTCGCTATTCGTTCTGGTACTAATCCTAAAGTTCTGGACTCTATAAAAGGCATTTCTCAAGACTAGGACATAATCCGCTGTACTGGAGCAGAGTGGGTTTGAGAAAGTGTGTTTGCCACAGCTATCCTCTGAAGCTGACCCGTTTAGGATCAGTAGATCCAAGTTGAACTGGAGTTGTGCCAGGCAATAACCGGCAAAGTTTGATTTTGAGACTTTTTATTTTCTAAAGGGGAAATACCTGTTGTCCCTTAATCCTCTTAATTCTAGGTATTTGTCTTCTAACTCATTGTTATTAGGGCCGATCTTTGCGTTTAGGTCACCCAATATATATAGATATGAACTAGGAAATTTAGTTGGTATTGAGAGGAGGTACTTCTCTAGTTTACTCCAGGTTTCTTTGATCAGATTTTTGGATTTGAGCGGAGGAATGTAAATGCTCACAAATAAAAAGCTGGTGATGTTATAGCTTAAATGGATTCCACAAGCTAGTTGTTCACAATTGTCCAAGGTGTTTATGTTGGCCAACAATGAGGTAGACACTAGAATACCAATGCCTCCCATAGCTCGGCCTTTTGAACTGAGCCGGTTTTCCATGACCCATGTTTCCTGCAGAAGGATCAAATCAAAGGTAGAGATATCATTACTAAAGTGGCTATCAACCCATT